AGTCCTAAAGTCGACAAAAACTTGTTATCTCTTTTACAACACATAAACTCCAATAAATTATATAATAATTGTTAGCAAGGACTATGAAAACAAAAACAAAAACAAAACTACAATAAACGCCAGAAATGATTTCATCAAATTAAAGCCACTTTTATTTTATTACAACTTTTATTTCCATTTCGATTCCAATGTAAAAGATATCGTAAAATAAAATACAAAAAGTTTTTTATGCTTTTCAACAGAAATACTGTTAAACGATAAAAAAGTTGTTGCGATGTAATAAAGAGAGGCCGCCCTCAACGCCTTGTCCTCACTCTACCTCCCGTTCCACTCGTATATGCATTGACTATAACGTAGCAAAACCAGCACAAGTAGTCTTTGGGAGAAACAGTCGGCGCTCTATCGGCGCATGAGTTGCCCACCAATTGGTTGTGTCACTACTGGAGACGTGTGTTGAGGAACGGCAGGCTATGGGCCCATCACTCGCCAGTCGGTGCTAAGATGTGCTGCACTACCAGTCCCTCGCATTCACTGAGAAGTGGGCGCAGAGTTAAGTACACACTCTTTGCGAGTATTTTCTGAATACACGGATCGGTCGCGAGAAGTGTATCTTATTTAGTGAACAATTGTGTGCAACGAATCACTCCAACAACTCATTATAAAACACTTTAAAACTCCAGTTCCCCTTTAATAGTGGGCTGTTATTCACAAAAACTATATATCTATTTACGACTGTTTTGTTGGCCGAAGTTTTTCGAGTGCCCACTAATCAGTTACAGTGAACTATAGCCCATACCTACAGCCACTTCACTCGAGCAACTACAGTAAAAAGGGCAGTTCCCCACGAGTCGACTGTCCCCGTTAATTATACATACAGCGAGAAAGGCTTTTAAAATTTATCGCAAGATTTTTATTATAACTTTCAGTTCAATAAAACAAAGGTGTGAACAGCGATAGACTGTCAGTTCAGTCCCGGAGCTAAACGGGTCCGGTATTCGGTGCGAAAAAGCCTTTTTTCTCTGTTATATACGAACAGACTATTTGTTGGCCTTTTAGACAGCGGTTATGAAAATGAAAAAACTTTTAATTAGAAATTTTTGCGCTCAAAATAAATAGTTTTATTTTTTTCCGACGCAAACAATTGATGCGAAAAGTTTTTTTCATATATATATTTGGTGTTACTATCGATTACCGCGGTTTGCCATCGCATGAGAGTGTGTGTCATATGTATGTTAACATTATATGAATTTTTGTGTGTGTTTTCCGACTAAATATTTATTTATTGATTAAGTGAACGCAAAAATATCGATTCGTATCATTGATTGATATCCACGTTAAAAAAGTTTATTTCGCATATTTTTGGACATTTTTTAGCAATAAAACTGAAGTGAATTTCGAGTCAACTATTCTGACGGTATGTTTGAATTTTATATTTTATATATCATTTCATATATTTTTAATAAACTTATACCGATACCCTGATTTGAATATAATTTTACTTCACTTCGAGTTTATTATAAAAGCATTTCTTTTATTGATATTCAGAAAAAAATATATTTATAAATAAATAAAATTCTTGAAAGTAATATAAAAAAGTTTTATATATTATATTCCGCACTAAATGCTGGGGAATAATGTTTAGGAAATTGAATATCAAATAAAACTATAATACGATATCAAATGTTAGCCTAAACTGTGAGACAAAACTTATGGCATAAAAATATAATCGTATAAAAAGAGTAAAATATATTCCGAGACATAAACTACTCGTACGTCTTGTCAGTGATTGTGATATGAAAGTGAAGTGTGTTGTGTCTTATAAGTTGGTTCCCGATGTATGTGTCTGTTCTGTCTCTTGTGAGACACCAGAGCACTGGTATGCTATGGGGTCTCAGGTGCGGCTCAGCCATCACTGGGATTGCAGTACAATATCTGTTGTTTTTGTCATTTATTTCGTTTTCTCTCGCTTTTGTTTATATGCCTTATCTGTGCTCTTGTGGTCGATATTAGCGCTGAACCATCAAAAGCATTGATGGAAATACTTTAAGTATTGTATGCACTAAATGGTTACCAAAAATAATTGATTTCTAGTGCCTGTGCTTTTGGTTGCGAGACATATAAGTGGGAAACAGTAGCCCTAAGAATATAATGCAATAAAATAGTATACTAGAGTCAATGCAATTGGTGTTTCACATGTTTTTATCTAAATTTCAAATATTACACAATATAATAGACATCAAACACATATTTTCTCCCAACATTACATAACATTATAATAAATACAAATATACAACAACACAAAACATATTGTTTTTCCTAAATTGAATTTTCCAAATATAACAGCACAAAAGTTATTATTATTTTTTGATTTACTTTTCCATACACACCATAACAAAAGACTGCATTTATTAAGGCTTTTTTATAAGTGCGATAAGAGTCAGTGAAAACTTATTATTATTATATTTATTATAATACAGTATATTATTCTTAAGGAACTGTCTCTCCCTTATAACCCAAATGTTAAATAATTTTAATGAAATGATAAGAAAATCTATTCCTTTTGTTTGAGTTTTGAAAGTAAAGGCATTTTCTCTCTGCCTCTCAGACCTATGATATGTCTGACACTTAACTCATTTGTAAAATTAATTCAATTTTTTCTGAAGCTAAAGAGGAAATTCATGACAAAGACTGCCATAAAACACATGAAAATCTAATGAATATATTTGTTCAAACTTCATTTAATTTTAAATTTAAGAAAAGCCTCGCATTTCCTATACGTCTATAACGGAGAGTGAAATTGTTTGCTTCAAACTCTGCATCCCTTTCCATGAAATTCATTCAAAACGCTAAATAAATATATAGTTTTCAATTTGATATCCTTGAAGGGAAGGCATATCTGACTTTCCCATAACATGTCATTAATTCGTTTAAAGTTTGGAAATATTTATTATATAATAATTTCAATTTTTATCCAACAAAAAATAATTACAAAACTACTTTAATAGCGCTTTTATTGTTTGCCCACAAAAGGCTTTTGCTTTAAAATTTTTATTTAAAAAACAAAATATAATTGAAAAAAAGCATTTTGCTATGAATTTTCAATACTGTTTTGATGGGTTGTTAAGGTGTTTGTGGCATAGGTTTGACTCAATGATGGAATTTATTATCAGTTTGTTAGCAGTTCTTCATAAAAATGATAATCAGTTTTATATCCGAAAACTGTTTGACGAGAAGATAATAATATAATCAAGAAATGGGAGAAAAATACGAAAAAAACTTATGGCTCAACAACAATAAGAAATGAGAGCACATGGCATAACATTAGGCATACCAGCCCTCTGCGGCTTCCGATTCAATGTCGAGGAATCAGTTTTTATAATCTGGGAGTCAATGATCACCCAAACTATGAGTGAATGTGTCGTGTCGTCGATGTCTTGTTGTTGTCGTCGTTTTGTTGTCACCGATGAAGTGAAGTGCGAAATATTGTCGCAAAAAACTACTACTTTTTTGGCTATAAATACAGACAATCAATGCGAAGAAAAATGATTTGAAGAGAGACTTAAAGTGTGAGAAGAAGTGGCAGCTATTGTGCGAAGACTTACATATAAAACAGTTTGTCTTGTGTTAAGGGAAGAGGAGAGAGAAAAAATTTGTTGAAATCTATCTTAATGTTTGTATGGCTTGCATAACACTCACTCTCTGTCGGCTCCCTCTATACCTCCCGATCCATCTCTGGGTCTCTCTCTCTCTCTCTCTCTCTCAGTCGACTCCCTCTATACCCCCCGATCCATCTCTGGGTCTCTCTCTCTCTCTCTCTCTCTCTCTCTCTCTCCATCTCTCTCGCAATGCTCTCTCTTATGGCACTTGTGTGGAGCGGTCTTTTGTTGACGGATCCTATTCTTCATATAAGTCCATAATCCCTGTCCTCCTGCTGTGCAATATTTGCCAATATTTCGCTTCTATTTTACGAGTATTACGAGAGAAATATAAAGCATTTTGTGAAATAAGGTCTGCATTTGGAAACACTAGTTGTGTGTTGTATGGCATCTGTGCCCACATATTGTCAATCCGTAAGACAGACAGACAGTGGATGTGAGGAGAGGGAAGACAGATAGTGGAGAGACTCTGAACTCAATTTTAATACACGTGCGATACATGACATGCCATTATGCTATTCATACCATTAATAAAAACCCTTAATTTGCCTCATATTTGAAATAATTGAATGCATTGGCAAACATTGAGCCCCAAAACTGTTATTTAGTTCACAGCGAGCACTTTACATCCCGGTGCTCTCACTCCACACACTGTATCACATGCCCTAAGCGAGCCCTATCATCAATGTGTCTAAAAAATGGTTATTAAATCTCCTTCTCTTGTATTTTATTTCTATTTTATTAGAATTGAAATGTTTTGTTATATTATATTATATGAGAGTTTTATTTGATATAAAAGTCGAGAGATTTTCTACTCATTTATTCCGTCCATTCAATGGTTAGGTCTTAGCGTTTAGAGTCGGAGCGAAAAATTTATGGCAAAATCATTAAAACAAAAACGTTTTACGCTTTGGGCTATACCTCAGTCCCCATGCCTTTCCGATATGAAGGCCTAAACTATTGCTTCACTCGTAGTCATGATTTGAGAGGAGAGCCAAAGGACGAGCGAAAAAAAATTAATAAATAAAATTAAAATAAATTATTTATAAATTAAAACAAAAAACTTTTTTCTAATAGAGATAGTCATGGAATACATTAATACCAGATCTTTCTCTCTCTCTCTCTCTCTCTCTCTCTCTCTCTCTCTCTAGCGTTTAATGTATTGGTTTTTTACTTAATTTCATGTTTTATAGACACTGTTTGATTATATCATAAAAATTATGTCTGCAATCATTTCTCAGGGATGATATCATTCCTGAGAAAATAGCAAAAAATAAACTTTTTTAAACACAAATTTTCTTATGTTTTGACTGAAAAAAATATAAACAAAATAATTTTAAATATAATTTAAATATAAGCTTTCGCAAAATGATTGCTGAGAAAACTATACATACTTTACAGCGAAAAAGGCAGCAACAAGAAAAACCATACATTAATACAAAACGTTTTACGTTTGATTTGATAGCAGTGTTTGGGAAACAAGAATATATTCGCGAGAAATATAAATAAAATGAACACTAATTTGCTATCATTTATAACATTAAAAAACAATAAAACTAAAAGCGAAATCGCTTTTTCATATAATAATATAATTGTAATCATTATTTTCGGGTTGAGAAATGTCTTGAGAGACTTCACCCCAAATAGCATTTGATTTATTTTGTAATTTGATTATAGAGTTTGAGGTGATTTAACTTCAATTAATTGGATATAAATGTCTTTTCTATGAGCTCAGGCATGTGTTGCAAATACCGGAGCTCTGCTTTCTATTTAGACACCCGTTTGCCATTCAATTGTATTTATCATGCCTGTCCTCAAATCGATAGACGTCTTACAAATTAATCAAACAATTCATGAAAAATCGTTGTTAACCTTAAATACTAGAGACAATGATTTGCATGTGTTTAACATATGAGCACTAGTTTCTCGTAGTATAGCCTTTAAACACAACTAATCAGACAATTAGTATAACACAATGTTTTCTAAACACGTATTGAAAGGATTTGTTTAGTAATCACATGTAAGAGCAATGAGGATGAGGTTAACCCCCGGTTAGGGCTGTAAGGGCTGTGAGGACAACAAATATTTGCTCTTAAGGATGGAGTTGAGAGACAAGTCTTTTCACTCTTAAACGCTTTTTCGTCACAACTTGTAAGAAGGAGTGGAGAAAACATTTGCAATAATTACTCATTGGATCCCATAGTCAGGCGTTTAGGAAGACGTTTCCGTTTTCCACTGACAACTCGACAATGAATTATTGGATTAGTTTTCACTTAAACCACTCAATCGCTCACTTGAGCCCATATTGCCTACCGATCCCATAGTCTCGCGTTGTCTTACACTTCAGATATCCACTCATTAGACGTCAAAAGAGTGGAGGAATTAAACCCATAAAAAAGATCAAGAAATCAATGACTGATTTGAATGCACCGATCGATCGTTTAATGTTGTGTTATATAACAAGTGCTTATTGTGTGCAAAGAGTTTTTGAGCTTTTATTTTGTCTTTTTTGCACATTTTTATGGCCAAAGTTTTTCTCTTAAAATGAGAGTAGTTTTCGCTTTATTTTATATATTTTGCTTAAAAATAGCATAAAATCGAAGAAATCTACTAAAAACTCTTTCCTCAAAGTGATTAATGCCTCAAATACTGCTTGGAAACTGTTAGTGAGTGCTCTCTCTCTCTCTCTCTCTCTCTCTCAGTTCTCAGTCACTCAGTATTTATTGTCAAATGAAAAATATAGCAGTTTTATGAGCACATTATTCGCATCTCATTCCTATGGTACAGTGTTTAATGTGTTTGACTGCAAGTAATTTATAAACAAATGTATTACTATAACACCAGAAGTTTGGTTACCACTATACGTATAGTTAGTGGCCTTAAAAAGACTTAAATAATAGGGCCGTCGGAGTGGTAGACAAAAACAAGCGCACAGATAGGTCTCCAACTCGTGTCTCATCTCTTTGTACTCCTTTTATACTGTTAATGAAATTCAGCGAAATGAAAGCCATTAGATGTCAATTGCATTGAATAGAAAAATGCTCAGAAATTAATGATAACTTATTTTTCTTACGATTGTTTGTGCAGAAAACTCCGCCAAAATGCAATCAGCGTCCGTATACTTGGTTACAGTCATTCACTCATATTTAATGCTCAACTATTTGGTCGTGTCGTTAGAATTCACGAAACGACATAACGGTATGTATTTTTATATATTATTTTACATTAGTATATCTGTGTGTTTTGTATGACTTATTTATGCCAATAATTCATAACAACTTTCATAACCAGTTCCTCGTACGATATATAACACTATAATTAGCCACTAATTGACGATATACTCAATTCATTGCTTTCTCATACCATTTATACAAACAAACATTAACTGCGAGAATATTGAGCTGAATATTAAGTAATGGCTTATCGCTACTTATAATATTAGCTTTAATTTGACGATCATTTCAAATGAACTTCACGAATTCAGTGTATTTTACTTATTTTTGCTGGCTATTTATTTATTTTTGTGTTCATTTCTGAATAACTTATTGCCTAAATTGAATGCTAGCCAATAGATTATACTCTTATCACTAATACAAACAGTTTTATAATAAAATTTATATTCAGTTTTGTTTTTTTCGTATCATTTGAAAGCCAAATACAACTTATTGTTAGATAGCACTGGCTTTTCACACAAATAAACTTTTGCTGATTGATATGTATCTTTGTAAATTAAGTTTTTAAAAATAAGTGTTTGTATTATAAAGTGAGTTTAATGTGGAGCTTTATTTTAATGTTGTTTCAAAATAATTGCTTTCACATGAAATTTTCCATAAAAAATAAAACAAACTTTGTATACATTCTGTGTTCAAACAAATTGACTTTTATTGTTATGTTTAAGTTTAGTAATCATAATATTAATGATTATATCATTATATAAGTTATTCCTAGCATTCATTGCCCCCGAAAATTGGTGTTTATATACAAAACAGTGTTTAAAAAACTTTGACTAAATTATTATCACTATTATTGAGTGCCCGGGACTAACATATAGCGATACAAATCGATGTTTGATGTGATATGACAGCACTGTTAGCACAAAGTGGACCGAAAAATACCCCAAAACAGTGTTGTATTACAATATATATCATCGGACAGTCGTCTTATCGCGAGATGCCTTATCTCTGAATGACAGTGACGTCTGAATTAAAGAGCAGCTCTTGAGGTCCCGACCGTTGAGGTCTGCCTTTCCTTGACTATCACAACCATATCATATGCTTTCCATACCATAAACAGCATATGAGATACCAGTCCATCGTAGAGATCACTGGCATTCTGTTGCACTAATTATCCGATTCTTAAAATGCATTACAAAACCAAAACATTAGAAGAATTTTCTGTGTGTTTATAAATATATTAACGACTGGTTTACTAAACATATAACAAAATAAATTGTCTTTTCGTTTGGCTTTCTGTTTATTTTAATGCGATATTCGCTGAAAAATATACCGTTTTTTCAAATGTCTTCATTCAATAGTTTATAAAAATGGAGTGAAACCAGTAATTAGTGAATAGGTTTTTGCCTCTTATTATATAAACACTTTTTTCTTTCACTTTTAATTTGTATATAAATGGCATTTCTCGCGAAAAAGTAATGGCTTTTCACACACACAAAGAAACTGAACGCCAGAAAAAACAACAAAACTTTTTTTGTTTAAAGGCGTCTCTTATATATATATTTGACTTCATTATCGACTTATTCTTAATTAAAAAAAGTTTGTGAGAAACAAATATTTTTCTATAATATTGCGTCAAATATAATAGTTTTGTCACGTATTTAACAGTCGCAAATCTGTCAAAAGTTTTCACTTAAAAAACTATATCTAAACTATTGATTACCCCGACTATACAGTACAGAGAATAAAGTGAAAATAAATTTACTTAACATTTTACTCCGTATTCAACATTAGAGATGACATTCAGCTATAAAAATGAGTCCGAAATATGTGGGGAAATGGAGAGAAAAAAGTTTTGCTTAGCTTTCGTTTTCTCTGTATATATGCCTATCCTCTCAGCTCTCATTCATCTCATTCCCAGACCCCAGTGCTCCCTATCCTTAGCCTAAGGGCTATCAAAAAGATTTTTTCCAGCTATTAATGTACACATATTTTGTCCCATTCTTTAACTAAGAACTTAATCTTAACAAATACTTTCAATTATCGTAAACCTTGTATTTAACTGTTGGATAACTTGAGTGAAAAATATGGTATACGTTTCAGTAGATTATATGGTACCTACACTTAATGATAATTAAGCTAGGCCCACAATAGTTGAAATATTATCGTATTTATCGTTTATAATAAATAATGACTTTAATGTTTATGAGAAACGCAGAAAAATAATAATGTTTTTTCTTTTCATTGCTATAATAGTTAAATTTTTTTAATAAAAAGGAAATCAATACAAAAGTAATTTTATTATTTCCTTATATTATATTTATAATAAAAAGTAATAAAAATAATAGAATATTAATACTGTATAAGTATCCATTAACTTAATTTAAAGTATAAGTAATAGAAAATACAAGTTTTAAACAAATAAAATTATAAAACTTTGAGGTAACTTATTAGACAATATTTCTATAGTATTTATACGCTTTTTCATTCAGTTCTCTCCATGAAGTACTAGAAAATTATTTAAATTTATTAAGAAATTGTTTATCTAAGGCTTAAAAAGTGTATTTTAATAACTATATGAGTAAATACCTAAACGGATGAGAATATGTTTTCTAATTGATGTCATCCTCTCTTAACTCAGAAATAACTGGAAAAAGGATTATTGAATTTGAAGAGAGGTTTGTGTTTAAAGTGAAATAGTGTTTGAGTTATGGCACTAAACATAGAATTAAATTTGTTGTTAACTCCCATAAGAAGATTACAAAAATAGTCTCTCTCTCTCTCTCTCTCTCTCTCTCTCTCTCTCTCTCTTAGTGTTAACCCTATCTGAGAGAGCGTTAACTAAATCACGAAAAACTTTATTCTTTTTAATGTAAGAATACCTCAAAACACAAGAATTAAATCCTCTTTTCTTGAACTCCTGTATTCCTTTGACTAAACATTTTTTAACTAAAATCCAAACACTAGCTAACAGTGAGCCGCCAATCCCCCATCAACTGTTACCAGTGCCAACACCAGACACTTCATACATATTGTAAAATCTCAAAAAATTAATTATAAAAGTTGTTTTCTCAATTTATGTCTGACTTTTTAGTACGTGTTTATTGTTATGCCATTTTCAGTGGCGTTTGAAATTTAAAATTGATTTCAAAATATTATTCAATAGAGAAATAACAGCGAAACTATAAGTGTTTTATAAGTCATTGTGTTATTCGAGTGGAAAAAACAGGAGGAGAAAGAAAAATACAATTATATTATAGAAATACAGCCAAAAAATATAATTCAAATGTTAATGAATAGCTTTTTAACTCCGGAGACCCAATTGTTTTGGCCGACAATTGGCGTACACTATATTTAAGAGCAGTTTATTTGTGTTATTATTATCATAGCGTTTGCAAAGACAGAGAGAAAATTGTTTCGCCAAAAATCAGAGAAAACTATTTCAATGGCATAGGAGGGGAACGGTATATTAACCTAGAGGTCTGGCGATAATAGATGTTTCTCACTCGCAGTAGTAAACCATTCATTGCCCGAACATATCGAGGAAAAGGAGTAATAATTCATAACTTTTTTTGGGAACGCTTTTCGCACTCACTCTTCATATACGAGTTTTTGGGCACAAATACAGACCCAATAAACGAGAGGTTGACTTCAGCTGAAAGGTTGGCCACAAAACATAGAGAGAGAGAGAGAGAGAGAGAGAGAGAGAGAGACTAAGAATGTAATCAACTGTTAAAAAGTGAAAGAGTGTGGAGAAGCGATCAGCACTTGTATGTGTGTGCGAGTCTGGACTGTAGAGAGAGAGAGAGAGAGAGAGAGAGAGAGAGAGTTGTTTGACAGGATTGAACAGAAAAAAGTTCATTAACTTGTCGTTAAGACTCGGAATAAAGTCTTGTAAACGCGCTGTAAGAATGAAATCATTATTAACTCTAAAGTAAAATTGCATTTGGAGTTCACTATTATTGCGATACTATTATACACTCTAACATACAATGGTTGGAGAAATTGTTAGTCTCGTATGGAAAGGCTATAGTGTTTTAGTCACTCAATTCGATTTAGTGGTTGTCTATGTGTTATGTGTTGTGTTCGGACACTAAGCCCTCGAAACACACATTATTTGAAATTGAATGCATTGAATGTGTGGATAAAAGTTATAGTTAAGAGATTTGGCACGTATTCATAGGCTCTGTGGCACACACATAGTCGCTGCCCTCCCAGTCCCTCTACGAGTGTCTGTTTTTTGTTATACACTTGTGTTATACACACATAAATAATTGCTGTAAAAGGCATTCGCTGGAGATTTTTGCCATTCAGACAATCAGTGGAGAGAGAGAGAGAGAGAGAGAGAGAGAGAGAGAGAGAGAGATGCTGTCTTAGAAAGAGTGACACCATTTCAGAAGGAAAATAAAAATCAAGTCTCAAAACCACTCACTGATGGCTCGCACACAATGTTTTCAAATACTTAAGTACCGTTCCCTCTGAATAGTGTAATAGTGTCATACATTTCTGCAAACTTCACGCAACTATTAAATGAATTGAAATCGAATTTTTAATTGAAATTTTTAACATTACTTTCGCGTAGAAAATAGTTTTCAAAATTAATTATAGAGTAAAAGCGAAATAAAAACAATTCTTTTGCATAACATATACGAGAGAGAGAGAGAGAGA